TTCTTGCGCTCGTAAGATACCAGAGAAAAGTTACTACCTTGTTAGTAGTGTTCTAAGGAACATATTAAAGCCCATAAATTTTTACTTGTAATTCTTGACTCCCTATGAAAGGTAGTTAGAAATTCATCAACTTATTGTACCTCGACATCCTGTGAAGTGAAAAGGAGGATAAGAGGGCAATAATAAATATATATGTCCTTTCTAAAAGTTTCTCTTATAAAAGTTTAAATATTTTTTTTCATTTATATTGATGTAAAAATTAATTTTGTACCAGAAGAACCTTAGAAAACTTGCCTAACCGTATTCTAACAAGCGCAATTTAATTTACCTTAATTCAATTAAATATATTTTAGGTAAGTTTACAATAATTTAATAAACAATGAAATAAATATATATTTTTTTCGTTTAGGTTTAGAGTGATTTTTGCGAAATTATTGCATATAGAAATTTTCTCTTGGCTTATTCGGCAAGAAAAGCGTTGCTATTTAAGCCAAAATCGCAAATTTTACCTATTCGGCACAATATATATATATATTATATATAATATACACAAACATGATACTGGCACTGTCATTGTCATGACACTTTTTTGTTTTTTTAAACTAAACATCTTGAACATGTATTTATTATTCTTCCTCGTAGCGGCTCCCAAAATGTTAGTACGGCTCAGGTCAGGTCCTTCAAGATTATCAACATAAACATTGTACACCATAACACGTAGTGCTCTCCAGAAATATAAATATTTACTAAGTCCGTGGGGGTCAGTGTCTGGGGGGGGGAGGGACAGAAGCAGTCAAATTTCATCCGCGGAAGGTGATAGTTAAAGTTCCTTGGAATAAGAGCCCTTTAGTTTTAATGCGCCTGCCCCCCATCCCCCCTTGAAGGGGGCAGATACTGACAAGTATTCTAACGTTTCAACACTTAGTGATCGAGGGGGGAAATGTAAAAAAAAAAAAAAAAAAAAAAAAAAAAAAAATTGAAGTTAATTTGTTCCTCGCAAACATTACCCAACATGACGCTTGTGTATCCATTTCTGTGTTAGCACTCGTGTTCGTGTGAAGAACACGTCATACTACGCAATCACTCCCGCTAGACCTAGATAATTACCAGTGTGTGCAAAAACCAATAGGTTGATTACATCTGAAAGTCATTCTTTCTCTTTCTTTACCTCTAAGAAATGTTCGTCCCCTCCCTCCCCTGTCCCTTTTGACCAAGCCTATCACTATGTAGTTTCAGATCGTCTCTTCGAGTGTGCTGAGATGCTGAAGAGCTCCTGAACAAGATGAGAAGAGCTAATATCTCCTTGAATTTGATCTGATTTACCTGCTATTTTCAAAGTGCTGTATTTTTATAATGATCAATCTGTGTTGGATTCTGAATACCAATTATTTCAGTTTTGTGCGTTTAGCAGCATCCGCCGCTGCGACCCTCCTACATGCTATGGGGGAGGGTTAATCTCTGTAGGAGTGAGAAAAGGGCTGGAGGGTATTTCTGGGAAAAGACAACATGTCAAAACTAAAGGCAGGCAAAGAATGCAAACTCAGGCAGAGTAAAATTATAAGTAGTTCGAATGAAAGCAGAGGCGGATAAACAGAGAAATGACCCCAGAGCGGTTCATCAACCACAAAGGATTGAAAACAGCAGGAAGCAGAGAGGACAGAGATGAATATCCACCCTAAATTAGCACCACTCCAATTTCCCTCTACCCATCCCGACTTTTTTTTCCCCCCCTTTTCCCTCCAAACCTCCTACACCTGAGCTCTGACCTCCCCATTCCCAGAATGGAGGGATCCGATACTCCACAGAGAAATGGAAGGTCAACTGTCTGATGTGCATGTGCTGATGACATTACAAACGGTAGTGATATTCAAGTAAAGGAAGCAGGTATAGTAGCCATAGAAACAAAACTCACAGGAATAACTAATAAGATTTTCCCTGAGGGATATACAAGAGAAGGAAGGAAAGGTAGACTGCTGATTCAAGATGTACGGCATTTTGTAGCAACAAATACTTTTGCATTGGGGACTTGAGAGACTAGGCTGTAGGAGCACTGGAAACAGGAGTAATCAAGGTATTAATATCGGTTGTTTCCACACTACCACGTAACGGAACGACCAAGACAAGAGTGTGAGAAACAGCGCAGCTGCTGGAAGATCCTGGAGGAAGCAGTCCACACAGCAAACAGAACAAAGGCACCTTACTAATCATGCATGACTTTAATCACAAAGAAATTGAATGGGAGGACTGGGACTCAGGACGGGGGGCCAGAAACGTGCAACGGGGAAGTGGAAGCAGTAATAGGTTAGAGATTAAGACACGTACAACATTTGGGTATCTTTATTAATGAAACGTTTCGCCTACACAGTAGGCTTCTTCAGTCAAATACAAAGGGAGAAGTAGTAATGAAATAATGATGTAATCAGTCCATCATCCTTGGAGAAGTATTTGAGGTGGTCAGTCCTTCAGCCTGGAGAAGAGTTCAGCTCCATGGTCTGGAACGATATCATTCCAGACCATGGAGCTGAACACTTCTCCAGGCTGAGGGACTGACCACCTCAAATACTTCTCCAAGGATGATGGACTAATTACATCATTATTTCATTACTACTGCTCCCTTTGCATTGGACTGAAGAAGCCTACTGTATAGGAGAAACGTTTCATTAATAAAGATCCTCAACTGTTGCACATGTCTCAGTCATCAACTGGTTGGTATTTTATACCATTTTCAACAGTAATGACACTTCACGAGATTACAAGAGCAGGAAAAACCAGGAAGACTGAATACTTGGAGAGGATTTCGGGGGTCAATGCCCCCAGGCCTCATAAAGTATATTTCCCTAAGGGAAGCGCACACAGGAAATAGATCATGAATCTCTTGGAGCGAAAGACAATATAGTTCGACAGTTAGACTACTTGATGGCGGTAGTGATGGGAGGAAGTGCGTGTAGTAGAGGATGTTAAAAAGAAAACTAGGAATAAGTGAAACCGATCGGGTAGGCGTTAAGATGCGGGGCCAGGAGCTGTGATTGAGCCATTGCACACACAACTAGGTGAAACTTCCCTTCTCCCCCCTGCCCCTCCCCCTCTCCCCCTCCCCCACTCCCACACAGTTGACTTAATTATTGTACCTGTTTGTTAGTGCTAGTGATGACGCTTTTCCGGAACCCCCGTACTCCATACCCTTCCCCATTACCCCTCCCCCTTTACTTTTTACCCCCCTTATTCCTTACCCCTCCCTCTTATTCCTTACCCCTACCCTTACACCCTTTCCCTTTTCACCCCTTTTCCTTACTCTTTACCCCTCCCTCTTACTCTTTATCCCCTCCTTACTCCTTGCCTCTTCCTTACTCCTTATTCCTTACTTCTTACCCCTTCCGTTCACTTCTTCCTCTCATCCCCTTTTCCTACGCCTCGCCCCCTCACTTTTTCCTGACTTCTCCCTCTTTTTCCTACTTATTCACAAGTTCCCTTCTCCATCTCTTTTCCTTCCCGTCTACCAACACCTCTTCCCCCATTTACTCTTTCAGCTCCACCACAGCTACGTTCTCACTGCAGGATGTCCGCTTTTCACCCCCCTCCTGTCCCCCTTTCCCCCTCAACCCCCTTTTTTCATGTCCTTCATTCCTCCTCCCTCCTTTCCCCCTCGCTTTCCCCTCCCTCCCTTATCCTATTACTTTCCCTACTGCTTCATTCCTCCACCCTCCCTCACACCTCTCCCTCACCCCCTCCCTCACCCCCTCCTGAGGACAAAGTAACCCTGACATTTTTTGTCATAAATTCCCCTCCCCCATATATATCTACTGCAAAACATTGCTCCATATTTTCAGTTTTAATTTCATCCATCTTTCATATCAACAAAAAAGCGCACTTAGGAGAGGAACCTTATGACGTTTCGGTCCATCCTGGACCATTGCCAGGTCACAACTGGAGGGGTCCAGGACGGACCATAACGTCCCAGCAAAGGTTTCTAAGATGCAGAGTTTTGTCGAGTTGTTCCAGTCATGGTATTGTGATTTGATTTATAATAATATATATAGCGTACCTGGCCTAACCGCACTTGAAAAGTAATATTTTGATGAAGACCTACACAGAGCGAAAGTGTTAATAATGATTTCTTTTCAACATTGTGTGTGTGTGTGTGTGTGTGTGTGTGTGTGTGTGTATCTGCCATCAGTCTGGCAGCATACCTTTAAACTTTCTCGAGTTTCTCTTTGCGTTCGGCTGGGCGATGCTTTGCGTACTTAAGTATTGCTCGTACATATACAGTGAAAGTAACGCTAGGGAATCTTTGATTTCTTGAAGCTCTTCTGGTGTAGTGCGGTGCACGTCGCAACTGCTGCGAGGCTCTTTGCTTGCCTCAGACGAGAGGTTTGTATTATCTGTCGTGTATGGATCCCAAAGCCAGTGTGAGTCATTCATCGCTGGGAATGGTTTTGGTTCGATCTCTGTTTACCTTTGATTTACCATGGCAGTGGGTGACAGGTTTGGAGTAATGCTTGCTCCTGGTTGGTGTTACTTTCGTCAGGTGGTCTCAGGTCGGGTCATCCTCCCCACAGAACAAGAAACACTTGAAAGTTTACATTTAAGAAAAGCCAGGTCAAAGTGACCTATCACCACAGGGTGCTTGAGCCAGGTCACATACTCTGATCGAACTTGGAAATAATTTACAAAGTTTTCTTACCGATGTATATCATGTTAGTGTCATTGTATAAGCAAGAATAAACAGGAAAATTCTCTCTCTCTCTCTCTCTCTCTCTCTCTCTCTCTCTCTCTCTCTCTCTCTCTCTTATATATATAATTATATATAATTTGTATTTTGTATAACACTGCATCTAAGTGTGTGTCAGTGTGTTGTGAATATTTACTCTCACTTTCTACTCGTAAATTCTATATGAATTCCTATTTGTCTTTATTTCTGTATAAATGACAGATTTTATAGCAGTTGGGAACTATTGCATCATAAACTTCGTAATTTTCTGAATCTCCTCTCTATATTCCAGATTGGCAATGACAAAAACGTCATCTTGAAGGTAAGTAAGTTTTTATCATTCTTGTCTCTAGTCTGTCTACAAGAAGAGTCCCGACGACAAGTTTGTTGATATCGGAGTCTGTAGAGGGACACTCTTAAAGAGGGTGTGTGTGTCTTGATTTAAAGAACTGTGGTTGCGATTCCTTTCTTGGGAACACATCTTAGGCGTTGTATGACTCCCCCCTTCCCTTATGGTTTTAGCGTCTCCCGATAACACAACGTAGGGATAGCAGTGGTGTTGGCCCGTGCTAGGTAGGGTGTATCGTCACTCTCCCACTCCCGTACATGTGCTTGTTTACTAGGCTTATAGAAATAGTTCAGTATTTTTTTCATAATCAGATAGGCCTAAGATAAGATTTCGTTCGGATTTTTAACCCCGGAGGGTTAGCCACCCAGGATAACCCAAGAAAGTCAGTGCGTCATCGAGGACTGTCTAACTTATTTCCATTGGGGTCCTTAATCTTGTCCCCCAGGATGCGACCCACACCAGTCGACTAACACCCAGGTACCTATTTGCTGCTAGGTGAACAGGACAACAGGTGTAAGGAAACGTGTCGAAATGTTTCCACCCGCCGGGAATCGAACCCGGGCCCTCCGTGTGTGAAGCGGGAGCTTTAGCCACCAGGCCACCGGGCCTAAAGGAATCCAGTTGCTACTGCTTAGAAATACTAACGGTGAGACTTAGGCTAACATTTATCGAGAACATCTTGAACGTAACCAAGGTTAGAAACAGTACTAAGACTTTCCAGAGACTGTATTAAGACTTTGAAAATGGCCAAGTTACGCCATTTTCTCCAGGGACACTGGGTTCTCCCAATACAGTGTCTATAAAGAGGTGTCTACCTGGGGGCCGTTCCGAGGGGTCAACGCCCCCCACGGCCTAGTTCTTGACCATTGGCGTCTATTGACGTCTCACACTTGACAACACGGGTTACTGGCATTTATCTTGTCAGCCATATTGGACATCAAGCCACAATGACAACCACGTACACATGCCGAGCACATACGTGATTTATCTCGCCCTTCTAAGCCTTGAAGGTGGTTTTATGTGCTGTTAGATGTAGGTGTGAGGAGAGATGCACTCCTCCCCTAACACTTGCATACTTATAGCAGGTACTGCAGGGTCTTACACAGTGTTATGTTGCAAGCCAGGGTTCATGTGTGCACTCGCCTAGTTGAGGTTGCAGGGGTCGAGTCCTAGCTCCTGGCCCCGCCTCTTCACTCGTCGCTACTAGGCCACTCTCCCTGAACCTTGAGCTTTATCATACCTCTGCTTAGAGCTATGTATGGATCCTGCCTCCACTACATCGCTTCCCAAACTATTGCACTTGCTGACTACTCTATGGCTGAAGAAATACTTCCTAACATCCCTGTGATTCATCTGTGTCTTCAACTTCCATCTGTGTCCCCTTGTTGCTGTGTCCCATCTCTGGAACATCCTGTCTTTGTCCGCCTTGTCAATTCCTCTCAGTATTTTGTATGTCGTTATCATGTCCCCCCTATCTCCCCTGTTCCCCAGTGTCGTCAGGTCGATTTCCCTTAACCTCTCCTCGTAGGACATACCCCTTAGCTCTGGGACTAGTCTTGTTGCAAACCTTTGCACTTTCTCTAGTTTCTTTACGTGCTTGGCTAGGTGTGGGTTCCAAACTGGTGCTGCATACTCCAATATGGGCCTAACGTACAGTGTCCTGAACGATTCCTTATTAAGATGTCGGAATGCTGTTCTGAGGTTTGCTAGGCGCCCATATGCTGCAGCAGTTATATGGTTGAAGATTGAGACACTTATGCAGCATATGGGAATCTTTATTCAGGAAACGTTTCGCCACACAGTGGCTTCATCAGTCCAATACAAAGAGGAAGGCGTAAGGAGCGGAGGAGAATGAGGTAATCAGTCCCTCAACCTGGAGTCGATGTGTTCAGTCCATCAATCTTGTAGAAGGTACTTTCTACAAGATTGATGGACTGAACACATCGACTCCAGGTTGAGGGACTGATTACCTCATTCTCCTCCGCTCCTTACGCCTTCCTCTTTGTATTGGACTGATGAAGCCACTGTGTGGCGAAACGTTTCCTGAATAAAGATTCCCATATGCTGCATAAGTGTCTCAATCTTCAACTTGTCGGTTTATCAAACCATTCGTCACAGTTATATGGTTGATGTGCGCTTCAGGAGATGTGCCTGGTGTTATACTCACCCCAAGATCTTTTTCGCTGAGTGAGGTTTGTAGTCTCTGGCCCCCTAGACTGCACTCCGTCTGCGGTCTTCTTTACCCTTCCCTAATCTTCATGAATTTGCACTTGGTGGGGTTGAACTCCAGGAGCCAATTGTTGGACCAGGTCTGCAGCCTGTCCAGATCCCTTTGTAGTTCTGCCTGGTCTTCGATCGAATGAATTCTTCTCATCAACAGGATGTGCGTGCGTGTGCGTGCGTGTGCGTGCGTGCGTGTGCGTGCGTGTGCGTGTGCGTGTGTGTGTGTGTGTGTGTGTGTGTGTGTGTGTGTGTGTGTGTGTGTGCGCGCGCGCTTGTGTATGTGTGCGTATGTTAGTTACTGGTTGTCAGAGGCACTTGTCGATATTCACTTGACCTGTTTTGTGTCTGTGAAGACATATGGAGCCGCAATGTCTCACACATGACTTGGGGACTCTTCACCACGAGAGGGCCGGGAGCTGGAACCTGGCAGCAGCTGGCCATAGAGTATGGGAAGTGAGCAAATCTTTGGGTGCGAGAAAGACCCACAGATCAAGTGGAGACGTGTAAGTGTCCTGTATAAAAGTGTGTGCACTTTTCTCGTCGAAATATTTTGTACCGCCCAGTTCTCTCAGTAGCAACTATTACCTGTAATAACCTCCTGATAGTTTACTATCATTGCCACTTGCCAGTGACTCGCATAAAGTGGTAGTTACCTTGTATAAAGGGGTAAAGTGACCTTGTATAAAGGGGTAAAGTGACCTTGTATAAAGGGGTAAAGTGACCTTGTATAAAGGGGTAAAGTGACTAATAATTATATATGCTCTTTAACTTTCAGTATAAGTGCAGTAAACAATTTTATTCCTTTTATATTAGTTATTAAAATATCCCCAGTAATATATCCTCTTGATTCTATTTGTATATACCTATTTGACCAATGGAAATAAATGGTATAAAATACCGACACAATGGAAATATAAACACAAATGCAGTATAATGTGATCCTTAATTGACAACGTTTCACCCACACAGTGGGCTTTCTCAAGTCACACACGGATCTACCTGGGGTTGGAAGGTACGAGAGTATTTATAGTCATGTTGAGGTCAGGTGGAGAATGCTGCAGCTGATGATCTACCGGGTGGGGTTATAGAGTCTTGGGTAGCTTGGCAGGGGTATTGGACAAGTTTTGAGTAGACCTTCTGCAGTGTTCTATGTTCTTATGTGGGATAGCGATGAAGAAGTTTCTTGGCGAGTGGTTCAGCTATGTTATAGAAGCCATTGTTCTGGTTGAAATTGTTGGTTGTAGAGATGAGCGATGATTCCAGGATTCTTCTGTATTGAGTGTTGTCTTCTGTGGCTATAAGTCTTGAACCACTCGCCAAGAAACTTCTTCATCGCTATCCCACATAAGAACATAGAACACTGCAGAAGGTCTACTCAAAACTTGTCCAATACCCCTGCCAAGCTACCCAAGACTCTATAACCCCACCCGGTAGATCATCAGCTGCAGCATTCTCCACCTGACCTCAACATGACTATATAAATACTCTCGTACCTTCCAACCCCAGGTAGATCCGTGTGTGACTTGAGAAAGCCCACTGTGTGGGTGAAACGTTGTCAATAAAGGATCACATTATACTGCATTTGTGTTTATATTTCTATTTGACCAAGTGGAAAGTGCTTACTTAAGTGGAGAAAGTGAATAAGTGGCTGGTTAAGCCCCAACCGGTAAACTAAGTGTTAAGTAGCAATTAGTTATTGAAGTGGTCTATCAAGGGGTGACAATAGGATTTGACACAGTGGCAAGACGGCAGGTTTTCTGACACTTTTCCTTTCCTGGATGCGACCCACAACAGTCTGGTAGCACACAGGTGCCTGGTTTTCACTGCTAGGTGGGCAGGGGTATAAGGAAGCTTGGCCAGGTGGTTAGTCATGCCGGGCCAGATGGTTCGTCAGGCCGGGAAATCGACTGCGAGACCGTGCGATTGAGAGTTAAATGGTGAGGTGTTGTATAGAGGGAGCGGGGATGAGGGGCTGGGTGGGATGGAAGGGGTGGTAGGTAAGGATAGGGATGGACAGATGGAGAGGGAGGGGTAGGAGAGGCTAGACAGCCAGCACAGAACAGCAGGAGCAGTAACAGCAGCAGTAGTAGTAGCAGCAGTAGTACAACCTCTCCCCACGATGGAAATAAATGGTATAAAATACCGACACAATGGAAATATAAACACAAATGCAGTATAATGTGATCCTTTATTGACAACGTTTCACCCACACAGTGGGCTTTTTCAAGTCACACACGGATCTACCTGGGGTTGGAAGGTACGGGAGTATTTATAGTTCAGAATGTTGAGGTCAGGTGGAGAATGCTGCATCTGATGATCTACCGGGTGGGGTTATAGAGTCTTGGGTAGCTAGGCGGGGGTATTGGACAAGTTGTGAGTAGATCTTCTGCAGTGTTCTATGTTCTTATGTGGGATAGCGATGAAGAAGTTTCTTGGCGAGTGGTTCAGCTATGTTATAGAAGCCATTGTTCTGGTTGAAATTGTTGGTTATAGAGATAAACGATGATTCCAGGATTCTTCTGTATTGAGTGTTGTCTTCTGTGGCTATAAGTCTTGAGTTTCTGTAGTTAATTAAATAGTTATGTGAATTGCGATGTTGTACACAGGCATTCCTTGTATCGTCAGTCCTGCTTGCATATTGGTGTTTCTCTTTCGAAAATCATCTCTTTCAGCAGACATTTGGACTATCCATGGGTTCGCCACTCAGTGCAGTCCTGGCGAACCTATACATGGAACATCTAGAAGCCGAA